TGTGGAGTAGCTGCATATGCATGACTGAAATGCCGATGTTTTTCTGCAAGAGTTGCCAGCTTTCGCCGGCGGCAGCCTGGGTGAGGAACATCCCGGCAAAGAGCAACACGTGGCACAAGAAAGGAACCACCGCCTCCTTATTCATATCTTTTGGCGGCGGGGATCAGAGTTTCTCTGACGCAATTTCAGAATAAAGAACAAGAAAGCACCAAGAAGTTGTAAAAAGAGTGGCAATTTTAACATAGCCGATAATATCCGAGTCAAGAAAAGAAGATAAGTAACAGTCTCATAGCCTCTAATAAGAGTGGAAATTTTTTACCTCTAATCAGTTAAAACATCGCAGTGAAAATAAATTACAAACTCCACTTGAAAAATAAACATAATAATAAAGGAACATCAGGACACGTCATATCCTCCTCCCAAATCAGAAGCGACAGCAGACATTTGAAGTTAAGTTCGAGGATAGAGTTCCCAGAGTGCAACTGTTCTATCTTCTGATGCAGATGCCATTAACTTACAATTGTCCGAGTATGACACGGCATTACACTGCAAGAACAGAAAGCAACAATCTTTAAAAGGGAATCATATCCTGTAAAATAAGGTGATTAACAACCAGTTTGTAGTTTCAACACTGTTAATAAGATGTAGGGTCGTTTGAATTAATCTGTTTGGTTTCAGGGTATGTCAAAAATTGTTCTCTTCATCTAACAATCAAGATCCACGGAAAATTAGAAATGAGGCCAATGATTACATTGCTGGAAGACGGAAAAAAAGGATAGCCATGTTCCCAATGTTTTGTCATCTTCAAACAAAATGGTTTTACTGGAAAGTGGAAACAACATTAACAAAAATGCTCATTTAAAAAATATTGTGTTGTAACGCCAAATAAAGAAAATTATACCAAGGCCTGATGATACTTCAATATAGCCAGAGGAGTTCCTTTCCGATAATTATATATCCGTACTCTGCCACAAGGAGAAAGAAAACAAGTTAAAACAGTGTAACTGGAGGATCTTCCTTCAAAACATCTTTTTATGACATTTTATATCTTTGTTTTATTTTGGTCCATGGAGGAATATATTCACAGGCGCAGCAGATGCATGGGAATCACAGCTAACCAGAGGAAGAAGCACGCAACACCAAATTCCTAACCATAACATTGCTAACCTGTGATCCCAACCGGCAGTAGCAGCAATCTTATCATCTGGTCGAATGGAGACCTTTGCAATGCCGGGCCGTTCCAGAGTAATTTCTTTCTTCACCAGACATGTCCCCTTTACAGTCCACAAGCATTCATCACAACCAAAATAAATAATTCTAATACAGAAGTGAACTCATTCAATTGAAAATCTAATGTCAATTACTGTAAGATCAAAATCTAGCCGAATGATTCAATATTGCTGAACTAATATATCATACTTTAGTTAAGTAAAAAAGATTTTTCTATACATTTTAAATACCATGGAATGATCCAGACTAAACGTCACAATTTTGTCATCTGCAGCTCCTGAGATACCACCCTTGCAAGATCCATCAATGCAAATGCTTAGAACTGCAAACAAGATACTCAAAATCATAGCTCTTCATTGTAAAAATAATACATAAAAATCCAGAATGTTAGGCCAAACACCTGGCTCTGAATGACACTTTACTGATGCTACTGGAACTCCCGGATTCCTTAAATCCCACCAAAGCATGGAACCATCCTCATATCTACAAATATTGGAAAGATACCGAAACTTAAACGTAGCTGTAACGCAAGAACCTAAGATGGCATGATCAAGATTCTTTTTAACTAAGTGAGCATAATCTAAACAGTGGTCACACATTTTGGACGGTAGATGACATGGAGTAAGAAATAATCAACTTGACAATATGACAAGAAATTTCTTTTGATAAGAAACAACATGCATTAGACCAAAAGAAAAGGAGAAAACAACTAAGGCTGAGGGCCGAAGAGGCCCTCCCCTAATATGACAAGAAAAAGATCCACAATAGCATCTTTGTTATATTTGAGCTTTCTTCTTATATATAATTTATCATGAATGAAGAGAAAGGAGAAGAGTTGAGAAGTACCCGGACAAGACATTTAAAAATCCCTGTGATTTAGTTGGTAAAAAGGCTTGAACTGCCATGCACAATCCTGTCAAAGACAATTTGTCAAGATTTCAAAGTCGGCATAAAAATGAAAAAGTTGCAAAATTTATCTTATTGATTATTCTCTCGCAGGACAGATTCATCAAACTAGCTCCCAGGGAACAGAAATTTATCATAAAATCGTTTGGTTCACTAATAGTAATGAAATGAATAGTTGAATCATCATGGAATAGATTCCTTTATTTAGTTAGATTAAAGGAATGAATGGTAACATTTTTTTTTATAAGAAACAAAACTTTCATTGAGAAAAATGAAAACAAAAAGAACACACGTACAAGGGTAGACCAACTTGTGTAACACTTTACTAGTAAAAATTAATAACTAACATTAATATTACAATACAACTATTCTTTTTAATACTTTACAAAAACTATTTTTCAATGCTATAAAAAACACAATTGTGAGAGATACTTAATAATGGTTAAAGCAAACAAAATGTTGTTCAACCTTTCTCCTTGGTAGAGATATTTGGGCAATTCCCTTCACAGTTTGGAGGAAGTCGTAGCAACCTCTCCCCAGCATTCAGATCCCAAATTTCAACCTTTAGACATCAACCACCAGAGAAAATAAGAGATCGGGGCTTAGATATTGATATGAGAAACACAAACAAGAATAGTCGTCATATAAACCTCTGAAGATTGTTCCCCTGCTATAGCTACATACTTTAGCCCCTCAGCTGGTATGTCAGCAGAAATCAAGAAAAAGACCCTTTAAATCAGTATTGAGTTCCATAAACAATCTTAAGATTCATAACAAGGCTAGAAAATGGACTATCATTCAACAATGGGTAATTTAAAGACATAAAAATCATAAGGCATACATAATTAACCATTACATTAGGAAAAAAAAATTACATGAACCATCGACTTGAATAAACCTTCTGATCTGCATGCATGCTCGGTAGAAATTCCTTGAACCCTTTCTCCACTGTAGCGGAAAGTTTCCTCCTCAACAGGCTTCTCATCGATATTGCTAATACACTTAGGACCATCATCATGGCTTGAAAAACCAGAAGGCTGCTTCACCAAGGAGAGTTTGCAAAAGTGATAGGCATTTGTCTTGATTGTGACAGAGGGAACTCTGTTGTGCATAAAAAATTTCCAACAACGTATGTGAAATGAACAGTCCACCTCAAGCCATAATTTCATATTCGAACAATTATAAAACCCATAACTTCTATGACAACGTTCTTAAAATGATCTAAACTTTACAGCGGAATCAATCGAGCATTGCCATGAAACTAAGAAAATAAAGCCAGTGAATAAAACACAAAGCACCAATACCTGGATAGAGCCCTGTCATCAATGTCCCAGCACTTTACAGTTCCATCCCTGCCCTGGCTACACACAGAGCAATTAGCTATAATTAAAAACCATTCACAAACAATTGAAGCAATGAGCTAAAACTCTTTACTGGACAAGAAGATATGAAAGATAAACGGGCAAGAACATATATAAAAGAGCACCTGACAACTTTATTAGTCCCAATAGAACGACTACAAGCAATACTAATGATTCCGTGTGCCGCACTATGCACCCTGATATCAATTATCCCAATTACAAAACGAGACAAATACAGAAGAAATAACAGTAAAGGAAGGAAACAGAAGTCAATACCATGCCGACGATACCGTTCTATGCTGGGCTGTGTCCCAAATACGCAATTCACCGTCTGCAGAGCTAATACGAACACATTCACAATGCTTTACTACCCGGAAAATTTACAAATCAGTGAGAAAAAGGCTGAAAAATGAAGTTATGAGTGATCAGAGCTATTGGATACCCCGAAAAAAGAAGAGGTTCGGATAGATGAAAAGAAACGTCCATGACAGAGGCCCGATGACCTCGGAGCACGGCCACGGGGTCCGGCGGGGGCCTCTTACTCATTCTCGCTCCAAATTCGCGTTTCTTTCTCTATTAATTTTTCTCCCCACCGGAAAATTTGTTGTTCCGGTGCACGAATCGCCGGAGTAGGACGGAGGTTTCTGTATCTGTAAAATCAAAAGGCGACGTCCCGAAACGCCACGATGGGAGCCGGAGGGGAGACGGTCGCATTCTCTAGCTCCATTGGGAAGTTTCTGTTGTGGGCCGCATTTTCCGTAAGTGGGCCCAAGCCCAATATAAAGCCGTTCACTTGAAAAACTGAAGCCCAGTTCATTTCTTAGGCCCTGGTCGCTCATTTTACTTTCTCCTTGAGCTCCCTCCATCAAATAAGTATAATATATGTTTTTAATGATATTATTATATTATATTTGCCGGTCTAATCACTAATGTCTTTTATTTAATAATATAACAATAATGAACTTTTTTCCCCATAATGATGACCCTCCACCAAACAAAGAAGACAAGAAAAGAGAGATAATAAACTAATGGCCCGCTTTTGAAAGAGTATTTTGCTTTTAAAAACTAAACTGATTTCAATTTATGTTTGTATATATTATATTTTAAAAAACTGTGTTAAAAAATCTTAAGTTTAAAAACTGATCACTTGAATTGATACGATTTTATTTGTTTTCAAAACTATGTTGGTTGACTCATCTCATTTTCGTAATTTTATTATTATTATTATTATTTAGTGAACTGGACCTTAACCAGATCAGAAATAAACAAATATTTATACATTTTTGTTCTTGGTTTTCTTAGATTTTTCCAATATTTCAAAATGGGTTTTCAATAGTGAAAACAAAACAAACAAATTAATATCATATTACCACTACCGTAGTGTCTAAAACAGATAATTTTTAAAAGGTAAACTAAAATGTTAAAATTAGAATACCAAAATAATGTTAATATGAGAAAACCATTTTTATTAAAATGTGAATAGCAAAATCTTTTAGTAGCAATAATTGATAGTTGGTACACTTTTGGGGGTAATCAAAGTGATTGGCTGTTTAAACATTGAAACTGAGCCTTCGGTGATGATAAAAGCAACCAAAAAAAAATGGAGTAAAAGAAATATGCTCCCGAGATTGAAGCAAATTATGAAACACTTGATGGGTATTGGTTACATATTACATTACATTATAATTATTAGAAGAAACAAAATGGAATTCCAACACAGAGAGTATTTTATATTAACTTACCCATCAAACCCAGTTGGCAGAACATGCATTGCCACTTCACGCCACTCCCCGTCGCTTTAAACCGCCAACCACACGCCGCCCCGCTTTACCTTAATTACGTTGCAAATGTGAGAATGAAAATTCAAACTGAAAAAATGTGAAAATTCAATAACGTAGAGTAGATAGATTAAACCTTCAACTTTAAAAAAGTGGAAAATAACAGCTACAACAAACAAAAAGAAATACGTCACACAATGTTCTAGCATCCAAGCAATAACCTAATAAAATAAGCTAAAATTAATTCACATGTTTATAGATTATACTTTAACCTAATAAAATAGCTGAAAAATACTAAACTACAATTAAGTGTATTTTTTTTTATTAATAAACGTAGTTTAATTAGTTAATATATTAATAACAAATTGAAAGGTTGGAGATGGCAATATTATTGATTGGTTAAGATTTGAATAACTTAATTTAGAAAAATCCATAGGTTAAAAAATTTAAAATGTATTGCAGCATAGTGTAACGAAGAATATAAGAAATGATTTGATAAAGTTGAGAGTTAAGAGGGTGCGAGAAAATACAGATTAAAGATAGGGAAGGAGACAGGGCGAAGTTCCTCCTTTCCCTTTCGCTTTCCAGATCCAATGTAACCAAGAAAAAGGAGAAATCCTCTTATGCTCTTATCCAGAATTAAAACCCTAATGGATTGATTCATTCATTTGTCCGCCTTCCTAATTTCATCCTCCCTTCTCTTTTTTCGTCCCTCAATTTCGACGCTGCAGTTGTGTTTTATTTTCATCTGTTTCCCCCCTTCTAGTTTTAACAATGTCGACGAGAGGGAGCAGATCGGAGAAGGTGAAGAGGATCTTCCATAAATTCGACGCCAACCATGATGGAGGTCTCAATAGGGACGAAATGGCTGCGCTTGTTGTGGCTGTTAACCCTAGGGTCAAGTTCAGCGACGAGCAGATCAATGCTATTCTCGACGAGGTGTTTCGGACGTATGGGGATTTTATCCAGGGCGACAAGGGTTTAACTTTTGAGGGATTGTTGCGGACTTATGACGATGGTGCGGGAGATGTGGACCGTGACTTCGACGCGCTTGAATTGGAGCTTAATCAGGACGATGGCAAGGGAATTATGGTAACTTCAGAGGCTTCGTCCTCTTCGATTACCGACGAGCGTGCTTTGGAGTCGCAGAAGAAGCAGAGAACGGCAGCGTGGGCGTTGTCGCCGAATCACGGCATTGTCTTTGATGATACTTGGAAGATTGTGGATGATTTGGAGGTTTTGATCAAAAGGTTGAAGGCGAAGCAGGCTAAGGATGGGAAGTTGAAGGGGGACAATTTCGATGCCTACTCTGATGCCGGCTGGTCGAGAGAATTGGGGCCGTCTTCGGAGCTTTCGGATAAGAGGGTATTCTGGGAAGAGTCTGGCCATGAATATGCTTCATTTCTGAAGGAGTTAGGGGTGTTGAGAACCCGAGCAGATCGAGCGCGATCCAGAGAGGAGGCTTTTGATGGGCATATGGCAATTGGTAGGGTTTTATATGAGCACCAGCTCTTTAAGGAGGCTCTGGTGAGCTTCAAGAGGGCTTGTGAGTTGCAGCCTACTGACGTGAGGCCGCATTTTAGAGCTGGGAATTGCTTGTATGTTCTTGGAAAGTTCAAAGAGGCAAAGGAAGAGTTTCTGCTGGCACTGGAGGCGGCCGAGGCGGGTGGAAACCAGTGGGGATATTTGCTTCCACAAATTTATGTGAATCTTGGTATTGCACTTGAAGGCGAAGGTATGGTTTTAAGTGCTTGTGAATACTATAGAGAAGCTGCAATTCTTTGTCCCACACATTTTAGAGCTTTGAAACTTTTGGGTAGTGCTCTATTCGGGGTAGGGGAATATAGGGCGGCCGTAAAGGCCTTGGAAGAGGCCATATTCATGAAACCGGATTATGCTGATGCTCACTGTGATTTGGCCTCGGCTTTGCATGCAATGGGGGAAGATGAGAGAGCAATAGAGGTGTTTCAAAAAGCAATTGACTTGAAACCTGGTCATGTGGATGCTTTGTATAATTTGGGTGGACTTTATATGGACTTAGGCAGGTTCCAGAGAGCTTCAGAAATGTATACTAGAGTTTTGGCTGTGTGGCCTAACCATTGGCGGGCTCAGCTGAATAAAGCTGTGTCCTTGTTGGGTGCTGGGGAAACTGAGGACGCTAAGAAAGCCTTAAAGGAAGCCTTGAAAATGACTAACAGGGTCGAATTACACGATGCAATATCACATATGAAGCAATTGCAGAAAAAGAAGTTGAAAGGTAATGGTAGTTCGAATGGAGAGGGGGCTTTTATAGTTGTGGAAGCCTCAAAATTTAAAGCCATTGGGGAGAAGACTGTTTTGAGACGAGAACTGTCTAGTGCACTTGAAATTAGGACCTTTCAGAAGATTACCAGATTGAATCGCTGTGATGTGGAACTTATTAAGAAGGAAATCAGTGAACGTGACGTGCCAGTGTCATATTCAGGTAGTGGTGTACCTGAGAAGTCCATACGCAAGCCTAGCTTGGAAGAAATTCTTCGTAGATTATTGAATTTCTTGAAGCCAGAGACCTTCCAGGGAGCTGTCAAAGCCATCAACGAGAGGATACTCTCTGTCTTGGACGAGTCAGGCTCAGGAAGGGTGGACTTGGGCATGTTTTTCGCTGTTCTTGCTCCCATTTGCTCTGGCCCCCCCGAAAAGAGAAAGCGGGTTGCATTCGATGCACTTGTATGGCGACCTGTGAACGATGGCGGTGCTCAGATCAGAAAATCCGATGCAGCCAGGTATATCAAATTGTTGAGGTCCATATATGTTCCTATTCAAGGATCCAGTGACATTCTGGAAGTCCATGGCCGCACAGACAATTCTATTGTGTCGTTGACAGAGTTCCTAGTCATGTTCAACGACTTGGATTGGGGTTTTGGTATCATGTCCACCCTGTTGAAGCTAGAGACTGGGGACAGAAATCGTCATGGAAATCACGTATGCACCGTATGCCGCTATCCTATCATCGGTTCTCGATTCAAGGAGATAAAATCACATTTTAGCTTGTGTAATCAATGCTATAGCGAGGGGAAGGTGCCTCCTTCATGCAAGCAAGAAGAATACAGATTCAAAGAGTATGGGAGTGAGACGGAAGCAGTTAAAGACAAGTGCTCCTGCTTCTCAATGCAATCCCATGATGATTCTTAGCTAGATTTCTCTTTCTTTAAACCTGTGTCGTGGTATTAGATGTTTCAGTCTCTCAATTACATAGCTTCCAATGTGCTAAGTTGGGTGTTTTGCCCTTTGTATAATAATTTGGTTCCATCAGGGCTCTGCTAAATTTGTTTGTTTGTTTATTTGTTTATTGCAGTGGTAGATTTTTCATCCCTCAAGTGTGTTTATTTTGTGATGGAAAGTGCTGATTTTTTTACCAACTAAACTAGTCAAATCTAACGTCTATATTTGAATGCAGCCAAATTCCTCAGATGGGTGGGGCCAGATTGTGTTTACTTTTTGTTATTTTATCACAATTTTTTTAATCTGATCTATTAAACTTGAAAGTCAAATGGATGATTCCGAATCCGAGGATTGATAATGAAGGCAAATAGTTGACAAGGAATACTGTAACAGTACCAATAGTTCCCCATTGCGCCAACATTCAATCAATCTATTGCTGATTGAGCATTTTAAGTGGGCCTTTCTTCAATTTACAAAGTTCTCTTCCTTTCCTTTTCAATAAGACACATGAAATTTCACACTATACTAAATAATTACTCAGATGAACCATATAAACAAATGACTTGTAAATTACTAAGTTTAGTTTTTAAATTTTTAAAATTTTGTCCAATAAATTTTTTAATATTTAAAAATGTGATCTCTAAACTTTTAATATTATTTTTAATAGGTCATTCGACTTTAGAAAATGCCTAAAAATTTCTAAACTTCAAAAAGTACCAGCAGATCTCAAAATTTTTAATTTTGTGTCTAATAAAATCTTGATGTTTTTAAAATTAAGAGATTTATCAAATACAAAATTAAATGCATAATAGATCTATTAATTTTAAAATACCTATTAAACACAAAATTAAAAGACTTTATTATTACACATTTATTAAAGTTTAGAAACCGATTAAATTTTATTATGAAAGTTTAGAGACTAAATTTATAATTGAAAAACCCATGCAGCATAGAAACAAAAAATAGAAAAAATAAATTTTCTTATTTTGTTTTTAATTATTTTACAAATAAATGGGTAGTTTAAATCTATATGAATATTCAAATTATATGGCTTTATCCCAATCCAAACATAGAGAAATTAACATTTCTATTATTTAACTTAAATAATTAAATTATACCAACCATTTTATTAAAACACCATATGCATGAAAGAAACATGATATGTCATTCACCCCGTATGATAAGATTGGAAATTTCAATTTAATTCAAACACTGCACTGATTATGCTTTAGATGCGTTTCTCATAAATTAGGAGCCCTCCAATGTATTTGAGACTTAAAGACTTGAATAAACTATGCGTTACAAGAAACACCAACCTTAAAACTGTACCCAGTTAGATACCACACACAGGTAGCATGGCAACAGTGACACTTCACACGGTCATTCGCTCTTTACTCTTCGGCATTATGATGTTTGCTATCGTAACATCTGCAGCATCACGTTTGTTCTCGCCATTACCGGATTCACCTTCAACGACTCCTCATGAACCTGTGCATGGAGATCACACCCATTACAAGGTTCATTCAGAAATGGAGGAAGACTACGGTCCGTGGAATCCGACCCCCAACTTTGGAGGAGGCTACGAAAGTCCCATTCCCCACGGACAAGTATGATCCTGAAACATCCAGGGGATACAGTTATACACTTGCTCTTGTGATAATGTTAAAACTATATATAGTTGAGTTGTATCATCCTTTTCAATTAGCACCACACATGGTCGCAGTATATTATTTGAGAAACAATTGATTTCAATTGCCGAGAGAAAAATATAGCATTGGCTTATCTCCCAGGAACAAGACTAATTCTAGAGATAATTGTGTTAGACAGTTACCTTTTCATCTGAGAGCTGAGGAAAATATTGCTCCCATGGCTTCCAAACATTGAGTGCCTGGAAAAAGGCAGTTCATTTGTACAGTGCGCAGACGCATAAAGAACACTAAATAAATTCATTAAAAAACTAACTGCATCGCTTGATATATGTTATATAGTATAGGAAAAAACAAAAATACACGATTATCTTGAAGCCTCTCATGAATTCAATTCAACTATTCATGGTCCAAGAAAAAGTATGCAAGTTGAAGCAACCGCCTTTAAATTTAATAAATATGCTCGAGTGAAAACATCTCATGATGTGTTACAGACTATCTAGATCAAACAAAGAATCAGCCGGATTGAGCAAGAATGCGGCGGATATCAAGGAATCGCTGAACACAGTCTTTCTTGTTCCCCTGAACATATTCTGTAGTTTCTTCGTTCTGTACAAGTATTGTTTTGGAAACTTCTCCCCAGCAGCTCAATCTTGTTACGAATGAACAAAAGTTCTTTTGACTAGCATCAAAATGCCCTCCTCACCTGAAACAAAATATCTAAGATCACTATGAAAACCAAAAGTAAAGTTCGCAGTTAACATTGGTCAGTTGAAACTTGTAATTCCTGTCAAAATTTGTACGCTGGCACAAGCCATGAGGTTCATTTAAGCATATTAACTTGATTCATTAGGCTATATCATCCGAGAAACAATATTCAACTGTATAAAAGTTACGACTCATTAAACTCCTGATTAGCAATAACATCCAAAAAGAAGAGAATTATTTCACCCGAAACAACATTTACAAACTCGCCATTATTCAATCTTCAGACATTGAAACTAATCAATGATTAGCAATAACATCCAAAAAGAAGAGAATTATTTCACCCGAAACAACATTTACAAACTCGCCATTATTCAATCTTCAGACATTGAAACTAATCAATATAATAAATCGTGACACAGTCTCCAGTCAATTGTGGCTCGTGAAGGTCTATAACGACTACCAATTTCCACAAGAAAATATCATGGATAACAGGTATAGAGAATTAAATTACTCTGACCAGCTAGGTTTTTCACTTTTTCCTCTCTCGTCATCAAACAGCAAAAAAACAATTTTTGGTTGGTATACTTACATAAGATGAATGGATGATGGACCACAAACAGCAACTACTTTCTGAGCACGATGAGCTTCCCCCTTGTAAAGCCCCTTCATTTCTTTTTTCGTGCGCCTTGCTTCACGTCGTGCTTCCTTGATAGCAGCCTGCATGGATTACTAGGTCGTCAAATAACAATAAACATAGGCTAATTTCAAATGCACAGACCCACTGATATCTATAATTTAGATTTAGACAAAGAATTATCACCAAGATTTCTACTTAAATACAATACAAATATCTCTAAACTTATGAAGCCTCCAAGTTACCTTTCTCTCCTTCTTCTCTTCCTTGGACTCCTGACCATGTGGCTTCCTCTTCTGATGTTCAGTTCTCAAGCTGCCAACATCTATCATTTTGTCTACGACTTTTCGACCATGAGGTAGAAAGTCCACCGGTAGCTTCTCTTTCCCTCTAAGCGTTATCACATGATTATTGGAATTAAGGGCTCCAGAGACAGTTTCAGCCAACTTCTTCCTTCGGGTTATTTCAGGAGCTATGATTTTCCCAGGATGGTTATTGAGATTAGAACATGTAGAAACAATGGTCTCACAGTCCCAAACTTCTGATTCATCACTGCTCTCCTCAAATATAAATTCATCTTCATTTTCATTGTCATCATCTTCATTTTGGTACATCTCAGCATATTCCATACACCGATGAATCACATCGCTGGCAGACTGCAGAAGTTCTTTATCTTCCAATCTCTCTTTACCACTTAATATATCTGCAGGAGCCTTATATCCTTTATCGAGTTCCAAGTCATCCTTACCATGATCGCCAAAGGCATGCTTGAGCTTCCGAGCAAGGGATTCATCTTCTTCAGCTACACAACCATCATGTTCATCACAATCACTGCCATCATTGTCACTAGATGCATAGTCCCGGCTTAAGAGCTGTATCCATCATAAATTATGAGGTAAAATAAATCCTCTCACAGAAAATTCTAGGAAGGAAAACAATATCTCAAGCACATGAAGAAAATGGAATGATAGGTCGCATGTCGCAGTAGCTCAAACTCGATGAGAAGAAAAGAAAGGGTTGCAATGGAGAGCATGTAAGAGGCCTCCACCCTCCCTAACTACTAAAGGAGTGAACTATAGCAGGTTCCTCTACTGTCACATTGCCTCAAGTAATCGATTATTGCTTTCTTGCCTGCTAGCCCACTAAATTACTGGCACACTGCCTCCCTAAACTCTTCTAACAGGTTTATCTTCCTTATTTCATAAGTAAAAAATAGCAGGACCCAATATTGAATAAGTGAAGAACCCAGGTAATTCATTGGAAATGATCTGACTGACAATAGTTCTAAAATAGGAATTCTAGCGAGAATCTGATTAAGGCCTAGCTTAAATACTAATAGTATAAGAAATTATTGGTAAAATATCAAAGATAAATAAATAGGTACTCGAAACTTACTGATATTTATTCTCCATCAAATTAACCACAAAACTAATTGGAAAAATTCAAATACATGGAGAAATCAAACACTACAGGTATGTTACTGAAATTTGAAATCCAGTAGAAGGAAAATATTTAAGAAAAGATAAAAACTCTGCAATCATGTTGTAGGAACTGCGAACTGGAAATCCAACAAATATTCTTTTATTTTTTAATTAGTATTTAGTTATTAAGTACTCAACCTGGGAGCTTGAATCCAAGACCTTGGAGGGCATCTTCCAAACATCCTAAGCCCTTACCATACCACCATTTGGGGTGAAAAAGGAAAAGAAGGTTCAAATATTTCTAGTCATTAGGCCAAAAAAAAAAACGAGGCAATTCTTTGGTTAACCCTGATGCTTGGATATTTAACTATTGAAGTCTTGGACAGAACCTAAAAGTTTTATTGCCAATTGAAATTTGAAATTAAAATTAACTATTACTAAATTTGATGGTACATACTTTTCACAGGCACAGAAAACCAAACCACCATCTGAGAAGGCAAATTGTGAACATGAAATTTCAATATGGTACCAAAATATATATAATAAGAAGCGTGTTAATAATAATCTACAGAACTGAAATGCATAAAGTGTTGGGAACTAACAGTGTCAAATTGCTCATCCAAAAGCCGACGAGTTCGTGGCTTATCAGCATCACTATTCTCGCTTTCCTCCTCCACATGGTCCATATCTGCATCCTCAAAAATGTGGTCACCAGAAGATTTTTTATTAACATTATCAGCGACGCTAAACCTATTGTCAGTTGTATCATCTTCCCCTTCTTCACGTAAGTTTGCCTGAACTACAAAGTCCTCTTCCAGGTCCTCAACATCAGAACCAAATCGTGATAAATCATCGTCATCAAGCAGTGCAGCTATGTCAGGGTCAACTGCATTTTGAACCTTGACTCCAACAGTCTTGGATGCAACCTTGTAGATGAAGTTCTCATCACCATCATTATTCCCTTTAGACACAAGCACTCTGGAAGCATCATACGCCTACAAAACAATCAAAGAACATTATGGTACGAAAAGGCAAAAACGCTTATCTAGAAACATAACAGTACGTTCCTAAACCGGTTGCTTGTTCTCAGAAAAAAGGTCAAACACTGTATAATGCCGAATACGATCACGTCCCTTATTCATACAGTTATTATCGCACTCCATATTTTCGTACTCCTATACCCAAAAACATTAACAAAAAAACCCAACCTTCTCATCTCGTGGAAGCTGATCCAGCTTGGCCTTGGGGTTCTGATAGAATGCCGAACCACCACCAGTATTCTTAATCTCCCTAAGGTGCAGCAAATAATTGTAACCATCATCAGGAAACCCGAGCTCCAAAATCTCCCTTCTAATATCTTCCGGCAATGGCGCTGGCCCGCCAATTTCTCCACGAGACCGCGCGGAAGTCCCAAAAGCTCCATCCTCTTCGTCATCATCGTCGGGAGCATCGGCAAATATGGAGTTAGGATCTTCATTGAAGTAGCCAGAAGCGGAAGCATCGGCAGGGCCAGGGCCATCATCCTCGAAAGCAGGGAGAGAGTAAGGGTGGTTGTCGATACGAACAAAAACACGATCGGTGGCGGGAGTTCCATCGTAATTGGGATCGGTGGAGTCACGAGCAAATAATTGGAAAGTTGCGGAGTTCTTCTTGTCGAAGAATTTCTTCTTCTTCCCCATTGCGAGTATCTAAGGAAGTCTGAGAATGGGTTGCTGTAAAATTGATGATAAATCTCTGGAGCTGCGGAGCCGTCCTCAAATAAAAACCCCAGTCCCTAAAACCCTAGATTGCAGATACCATAGCACTACAATAAATAAGGAAAAAGGGCAAAAAGCTTTTAAAAAATTCCGTTGCCGGGAATCGAACCCGGGTCTCTCGGGTGAGAACCGAGTATCCTAACCAACTAGACTACAACGAATTTGTGATATCGTTCTGTCTAAATATATTTAATTTGATAAAATAATATTTAAAATAATAAAACTTGATTATTGTCTTTTGAAGAATAAGAAGAAAAAAAGATTGTTTTGATATCATTGGTACTTTTGATATAATAATCACAGTAGATATTACGCTAGTAAATTCAACTGAAAAAGCAGTTCATAATAACATGAGAACTCATCTATACCATTAATCTAAGGCAACACAATAACAAATGTCTTTTGTACATAATAATCATAAGTTTTTTATAGATTAAAAGAAAAACCAAAATAAAAATTAATAAAATATTGGAGGACTTGTTACTCGTACCGTCAAATTAAAAGCAATGCACAAATATTTAAAGACTTGAATTTTAACTTCAACGATATTACCACTCATTTAACTGGTTGCACTCTAAAATAATATTCATTTTCAATAAAAAATGACCTATTCAAGTTATTTTCAATAAAAAAATGACCTATTCAAGTTATTTTCCAAAAATTACTGTATCATTCAAACAAAACATATTATCACAATAACATCAATCACCATAAACTCTACTTCAAATTTATATAGATAACTTGACTCAATAGACGAGGGTGGAGATTGAATTCACGGCCTATTGATTTGAGATATATGCTAATTACCACTAAGTTATGTTCGCTTTGATAACTTGACTCTCATTTTGTTTATGTATATAATTTGAAGAATAACATTCACATTTTACCGATTAACCTGAACCGTTAAAATTTCCCCAACTTACAAAAAAAAATTCAATTTTATCATTCTTCCCTATTATCTATCGAAAGAAGGAAAGAAAAAAAAATTTGCGATGGTACGTAACCATTTCCGTTGGTATCCACCACCACTTTGCCACACCTCTGACACTCGCCATCATCCAGCCCTCACCCGCGCCTACCAAACAAACAAACGCAAGTGGGTCCTAAATATGTAACTTTATGATCATAAGAAACTGCCCAACAAGACCTGCCATGGTTTATGCTACTGTAATTTCTTCTAATATCATACTTTTCATACAACATTGAGTCAGAAAATATATGGTATATAATCTTTCCACAAAACTAGGGGGGGTTGGTTATTGGTTATTGCTTATTGCCAATTGGAAGTGGGGGACAAAAGTAGGCTTCAAGCCATCCACACCTGTACTGCACGTTGGTTCGGTTACTGTTTCTTCCAGAATAAGAAGAAATTATACACTCACCCCCTGTTTCTGTGTGTGTGGGGTACAAACTAAACTACGTCGTATACTTATATTATATCTACCGCCAGTGGATTGCCATGTGGGTTTCCAAACAGTAGCTGGAATCAAGTGCCACAGATGGGTATGGCCTGCCAAAATCTAATGAAATTCTGCGCTCTGGCGGTG